ATTTAAAATTCATAAGTTTTATAAAATAAACATACCTTTTTTTTATTTTTAGCATTTATATCATCTATTTCCATATTCATTAATTCAGTTACGGATATCTGTGATAAGTTTTGAAATACTTCATATGTTGGACAGCATATTAAATGTATGATCATCCTTTCGATAATTTATAATATTTTCTTTTTCTTGTACTGATAAACCACTACCACTACTATTACCACTAGCAATTGAATTTTTTTGCTTTTTATTTAATAAATTTTTTGTTAAATTTTTTTTCCTTAATTAAAATTTTTTAAAATTAATAAAATAATATTATATTATAATATCAATAAACTAAAAAATATCAATTATAAATACTTTTTTTTAAAAATTATTATTTTTTTTAGGATTATTGATTATACTTTGTAAAGTATTATCTTTGTTTAACAAGTTTGTTAAATAATTTTTAATTTATTTTCCAACAAAGTATTATTTGTAAAATAAAATTCTTTAGATAATTCTGGATACTTTTTTATCAAACTTTTTATTTCATAAAAAGTTTTTGTCAACAAATATTCATAGTCTTCAACAATTTCTATTTCTAAGAAACCCAAATGATTTGTTATATCATTACCACAAAACAAATTAAATTGTTGTATTAAAACAAGATTATTTGGATCTTTTTGCCAGCGTTGATAAAATAGTGAATTTGGCAATTTATTTAAATTTATTTGTGTTGCTACACAAAATATATGTCGACATATAATTTCATAAAAAGTTGTATGTTTGCATGAACACAAAAACAATTGTTATTTTAATCGTATTATACTTTTCTTTCAGATTTGTAATTATGATTAAATCGATGAATATGAAATAATTGAATATTTTGAGTTCTAAATAATTAAAAATAAATTAAATTAAATTAATAAATTTTATAAAAATAAAAATACATTATAATTAAAGTAACTTAAATCAAACAATTCTATACAAGAATAATTAAATGCTTGTAATAATTGCTCCTATGTTAATAACTTGTTAATATTTTTGCTGCTTGATATTCAAATGGACTCATTGTTTTTAAAATAACATTAAATTAATTTTGCTGATATTTAAATAATTGTAAATCAATATCATATTGTTCTAGTGTAGATTCAAAAGCTTTTAAAAAATTCAAACGTGAATTAGTTGTATTCATATAATTTTTCATAAGACTATTCATTGATTATTCATGCTATGTACTTGTCATATCTGCTAAAAATATATCTCTATTAAAATAAAATGCCTATTTTTCTTTACTTTATTCATTCTTTCTAAATATGCTTTACAATCTGGAAAGTCTATTTAAAGTTGTTGTCATTTGATTATAAAATTATCAACTTTATATTCTTTTGTATATTCATAAAATGCTTTTGTAAAATTATGCCAATTTGCTTCTAATATACTGCATAAATTTTTGATTACATTTTTCTAAAGATGCCATATACATAATACATGTTTTCTATTTTGACCAAAAACATTTTATATAGCTTGAGAAATTGCTTTATCTTTATCTGTAAGTATTACTTTTGGTGGATTATTATTAACTATTTTAAGAAATAATTTAAATGTTTATGTAAAACTATTAATTGTTTCTTGATATATTAAAGTTTTAGCAAAATATATACTTTGATCAAAATTGTTTACTCCTGTAAAAATTCTAAATGACATATTAAATCAATTAACTTTGTATATATTATCAAAAATAATTACATCTAAAAATCTACAATATTATTGTTTCTGTTCTAAATATATTCAAATTACTTGAAATAATTCATTTGAATTTTTATTAACTTTAATTTTATATTCAAATCCATTAATTTCTCTTTTGAATTGCTTTAAAATATTAATAAATTCATCTGCTTCAAAAAAATGACTATGTAATTTATTATCTAATTGATATATATAATTATAAATATTATTATAAATCCATATTTCTAATTTTTGATATTCTTGTTTAAGAATAGATTTTATAGTTGATATATTACAACTTGCTTGATGATAAATTTTAATTTGATCTTTAATTTCTTGTGGAATTATTCTTTGATTATTTAAAAATTTTTTATACTCAAGAATTATTATTTTATAATTATATTTCAAATTTATAGCTAAAATATACCAAAGACCAGTTTGTAAATTAAATGATACTCTAATCATAAAAGTACAATTATATCTTTGACAATGATGATCTCTTTGATGATTTTTTTCTTTTTTTTATTCAACAATACCTGCATATAAATATAATATAGTTCTTTTTTTAATATTATTATTTTTGTCATATTCTATTTTATCTTTTTGTATTTGAAAATTATAAAAATTTGCAAAATTTTGAACTTATGCTATAAAATTATCATGATTTATAAATGTATTTAAAGCTGTTAGTTCAAGAATAAACATTTCTTCAGATTTTATATGAAAATACAAGTGAGAATTTATTGTTTATTATATAATATTAATTTTATTTACAAATATAAATAAATTATATAATATTATACAAATCAATTTTTATCTAATAAAATTTGTTAAAACTTATTATATACCCTTAGTGCAAGCTAAATATCTACACCTCTAGTGTAAGTTAAGGATGCCCTCCCTAATATCATTAACAAAAATCACTTTTATGTGATCATATAAAAAATATTTGTCACTCTATATCATACCTCTACTTTTCATTTTTTACTAAATATTCTAGGGACTTAGAATTTTTTCAGTGTATCACTATTCATTACATATATAATACCTTAATTCACAGTTAATACTATAACTCTAACCAAAAAGTCACATGATAGTGATTTTTTATTAGTGATTCTAGGTAGTTTATGCATGCACATACTGTACTTTATTATTTATTTAACTTCAGATCTCTTTCCTATACAAATTCATATATTATCATGTTTTCTTATAAACCTTCTTATTATGATTATATAATAGAGTTTAAAGCTGCAAAAACAATACGTTGCAAATCTGACTATGAATTATTACAGTTTTCTCATGTATATCATTTTGTCACTTCCTGTACCATTCAATATAATTTAGTTCACAATAGAACTTTGAATAGAAGATATATCTATGCTCAGCTTTTAAAATTACTTCTTTTATTATACTTTTTGTGTCAAAAAATCAGGTTGTAAAGAAATGATCTGCTGTACACAACAATCTATCCTATTTTCATCATCTATTTTAACTTTACATAACTGATATTTTGCATTTAATCCATTTTTCACAATTCATGCTTTATTAGAACCTATTTTATTCTTTTAGTTTTACCATTTTCATTTATCATTGTTTGATGCTGATTATCTAATCTAAGACTATATCTCTTATTTTTGATTGCTTACTTTCAGATTTTAAGTTCATCCCGCTGATAACAAAAGCATCAGATTTAAAAGCTGTATGGCTTAAACTATTATCAAATGCAAATAATACAGTGCAATTAGGAAAAAGAGTTTCAAAAATAGGAATGGCTTTTGTCTTTATTTGCTTTATTAAATGTTTACTTATCTAGAAATCTTCTCAGTCTTTATCTGATTAAAGATAAACACATACTTTTTCAGATATTAAAGGATTTTCTTAACATTATTATGCATTCAATTTGAACTGATCATATTTTTTAAATAAAAACTTACTAACTATTATCGAATGGTCATTTCCTTTTTTACGTAATGATAATTCTCTAGTTATTGTTTATATTTCTCATTTTTTATTATTAGAATAGAATACACATTCATCATGCATTATAAGAATTATTTTCTTATTATTAGATCTTAATATTGGTAGTTTCTATTCTATATTTTTACTTTCATATTTCATCATATTCTTTTCATAACAATAAATTTTGTCTAATAATATTTAGTGATATTTTATCATATTAGAAATCTAAGAAAAGAATCTAAGATAAGAATCATATTTAATAACTATTTACCTTATTTTTAGGATTAAAAAATCAAGAACATTTAATTAATATATCATAGCTAAAATACTAATGGTTTTTTTATTATTCTAGAGTCAACAAGTAATTTTTTTTAACAAATTTCTTAAATTTTATCAGAGTTGTTATTTCACCTTGAAAACGAATTTAGGTATAACATTATTTTACTACATTTTTATTATCTATTAGTCATATTATCTTTTTATATTTACCTTAATAGTTTATTAAAAGATGATTATATTAGAGCTAATACTTTGTTCAATATCTAATAGATCTTGCTTTATATAATACATTCTCAATAAAACTAACTACGTTGTTAAGCCTAAATACTACGTCATTAGGATAACAAAGCTAATTTGCTAACAGGGAGTTTAAGTTGTAAACTATGAAAGAAATAAACACGAATTTATTTAAGTCGAAGGATCATGTCGTCTTTATTGAGGATTTATATTTTTAAGAAAATAGATATTGACAAAGATATAGTTTTTAGGTTGTTAAGATTATACTTTATTAATTATTCGATTTAAACTTGTTAGTTTGTTAAGGTGACAATACAGGATATTTATATAAAATACAATTATAAGATAGAGATAATAAATATAATAGTGAAAGTAAATAT